TCACGCGTTGTGTATTGTCGAGGGGGGGGGGGTGGGGGGCACTTCAGGGCCCCCCACTCAAGAGGCCACCAACGGCCTTGCAATGAAGAACTCTGGGATCGAGTGTTGCCCCGTCGCATCCGCGGCGAGCGTTCTCCGGGTGTTCTCCGGTTTGCCCTCTCGTTAATTGTCAGATGACGCCTTCATATATACAAAGGTCCACAGAGCTCGGAAAATTGTTGGGGGCTGCTTACTGGCTGACTGCTGCCTTTCCCGGATTTTACTGTACAGCACGTTGAACTTCTTTCGCGTCGTACGTAGCCAACCGTGCTCATCGGAGGTGCGGGGGAAGGACAACAAACTATGGGTCTCTGTGTGAGTCTCTTTGGCTCTCTGTGTGAGTCTCTATGGGTCTCTGTGTGAGTCTCTATGGGTCTCTGTGTGAGTCTGTGGGTCTCTGTGTGAGTCTGTGGGTCTCTGAGTCTATGGGTCTCTGTGTGAGTCTCTATGGGTCTCTGTGTGAGTGTCTATGGGTCTCTGTGAGTGTCTATGGGTCTCTGTGTGAGTCTGTGGGTCTCTGTGTGAGTCTATGAGTCTCTGTGTGAGTCTATGGGTATCTATGTGAGTGTCTATGGGTCTCTGTGTGAGTCTGTGGGTCTCTGTGAGACTGTGGGTCTCCGTGTGAGTCTGTGGGTCTCTGTGTGAGTCTATAGGTCTCTGTGTGAGTCTGTGGGTCTCCGTGTGAGTCTATGGGTCTCTGTGCTAGTCTATGGGTCTCCGTGTGAGTCTGTGGGTCTCTGTGTGAGTCTATAGGTCTCCGTGTGAGTCTTTGGGTCTCCGTGTGAGTCTATGTATGTTGAACTTCTCTCGCACCGTATGTAGCCAACCGTGCTAATCGGAGGCCTGTGGCTCTCTCGATGTGTGCGGGGCGGCGCCTTACGAACTGACATTAACAAACCCGTCAACCCATCACGGTTTACCCCGTATTCTTGTTCAGGGAAATTGAGTCTATTTGACGTACAGCCGTTTCAATACGGGCACAAATAAAATATTTTTTGTCTGTGTTTATTCCTTGTGAAGGGGACTTTGTAGGATGAACGTTGAGATTTATAAGGGGCACGGGGTGACCATCAAGGTCTGAGTTGGTCTGTAATAAGAAAGGCATTTGTTGTGTTTGTGTCAGATGGCCACGTTGAGATTTGCAGTTCAAATCGGGACAGCCCTAGGAGCCCGTCCATAAATGACATCACGTGATTTTGGACGATTTTTGACCCCCCCCCCCTCGTCACGCGACGTCACAAAAAGTCAGACCCCCCCCCCTCAAATATGACGTCACAAAGATCTGCCCCCCCCCCAAAAAAATGCTTACAATAGCTTTAAACTATTGTCACTGTAGTGCGTATTTAATGTGGCGCTCACTCTGATGTTGTAGTAGAAAACATTTATTAAAAAGTCTATTTAATTAAGTAGAACGTATTCTTAGTTTTTTCGGTAAAGTCACGTTGAAGAGAAACAACAAAATAACAAAATATATATAAAACAAAAAATTCTCACGACGTTTCGACCATAACTCAAACGGTCATCATCAGGTGTGTTGGTTTGCATAAATTTATTTTTAAAACGGTGTATTTATTTATTTATAAAAAAAAACGGCGTCACGCGCAGCGATTGGCAGTTTGCCCAGGACTAGTCCATCTATTTTTTTTTTGAAAAGAGGAGGGGGGAGACGAAATTTTTTATAATGTATGCTGTCTGAAAGCCACTGTAAGCGTGAACAATCAATCAAGAACTGAAATGATTTATCAAATCTTTCCAATGATTGCTAAGATAGAATCCATCTTCTCGGTTGAAATTGTCTCTGTGCTTGTATATGTGGATAGCCTCATGAACGAATCTCTCATGGAAGCCAGATGGCTTACAAAGAACCTCCGTCTTGGAAAAGTCAATGGCATGTGAGCCTACTGAATTAGAACAATGATCTGCTACGGCCGAGGTGTTGGTCCTACCGTGTTTAAGGTCTGCTTTATGTTCACGAATGCGGTCCGAGACATGGCGTTTGGTTTCTCCAATGTAACTACTACCACAGAGGCAACTTAGTTTGTAGATACCAATACATACTTCACTTGGAATGGAACTTTCTACAAACAAACTGAGGGCACCCCAATGGGCTCCCCCCTTTCTCCAGTTATAGCTAACATTTTCATGGAGAAATTTGAGACTGACGCCATCCAGACTGCCACTCTGCGCCCAACCTTATGGAAGAGGTACGTGGATGACACTTTTGTCATCTGGCCACATGGCCGGCCTGCTCTAGACCAATTCTTCGACCACATCAATTCCATACACCCAGCCATCAGATTTACCATGGAAGTCGAAATAGATGGCAAGATACCTTTTTTGGATGTCCTAATTAAAAAGAGACCTGATGGTTCAATGAGCCACTCTGTCTACAGGAAAGCTACCCATACGGATGTTTATCTGAAACCGGATTCCCACCACCATCCATCACAGAAGAATTCTCTCATCAAGACTCTGTATCATAGAGCCCAATGCATATCCGACCAAGAACACATAAGCAGTGAACTCAAGCACGTACACCAAGCTCTTAGGGCTAATGGTTACTCCGACTATACAATCCGCAAAGCTATCACTCAAACCATGAAGAAGAACCCTCTTGAGGAGCCTTTCAAAACCATCACTTTACCCTACATTGCTGGGATCACAAAAAAGATCTCCAAAATCTTGAATAAACACAAGATCCAGGTCCGTTTCAACACATTACATAAAATCCGTGATCTGGTTCCGTCTGTAAAAGATGTGATTCCGGACATACAATACCCTGGTGTCTACAAACTAAGTTGCCTCTGTGGTAGTAGTTACATTGGAGAAACCAAACGCCATGTCTCGGACCGCATTCGTGAACATAAAGCAGACCTTAAACACGGTAGGACCAACACCTCGGCCGTAGCAGATCATTGTTCTAATTCAGTAGGCTCACATGCCATTGACTTTTCCAAGACGGAGGTTCTTTGTAAGCCATCTGGCTTCCATGAGAGATTCGTTCATGAGGCTATCCACATATACAAGCACAGAGACAATTTCAACCGAGAAGATGGATTCTATCTTAGCAATCATTGGAAAGATTTGATAAATCATTTCAGTTCTTGATTGATTGTTCACGCTTACAGTGGCTTTCAGACAGCATACATTATAAAAAATTTCGTCTCCCCCCTCCTCTTTTCAAAAAAAAAATAGATGGACTAGTCCTGGGCAAACTGCCAATCGCTGCGCGTGACGCCAACGTGTTTTTAAATAAATAAATAAATACACCGTTTTAAAAATAAATTTATGCAAACCGACACACCTGATGATGACCGTTTGAGTTATGGTCGAAACGTCGTGAGAATTTTTGATTGTTTTAGATATATTTTGTTGTTTCTCTTCAACGTGACTTTACCGAAAAAACTAAGAATATGAATTACTGCAGTCACGAAAGCTTTAAATCAAAATTTAAGTAGAACGTGTTGTCTATATTTATTTAAAGTTGCGCATTTTGATGTGACGTCACATTTCTGAAACCCCCCCCCTCGTCACAAATGTCTGACCCCCCCCCCCCAGGTGCGTGACGTCATTTATGTACATCCCCTAGAGAGTAGCTCATGTTCTCTATCCGCTTTGCTTTGATGGAGGTGTGCTATCGTTAGAAATGTTCTTGTTAATCTGTCACTCTTAATGATGGTAACGCGTCTGTTTAATAATCGTCATCGCCACTATTTATTCACAGCAGGATGAAGGCATCTTTTCCCAAGGCGTTGCTATCACTAACCGTTCTCCTATGCAAACAATCCACCTTGCACCTTCACATATGTTAATTTGTATAACAAAAATATATATTTATTAAAACTAATGTATGACAACTTAAATAGAGAGAAAACCTCTCATCTGGCGTCATTGCCCTCGAAATCTCAAACCGCTGCAACGACGAAACGTGAAGACACGTGACACATTGGCTGCAGCCACGTGCCCCGATTTTCAGGCAAGGCAAATGAGACCGAAGCTGTGGCCCACGTCCCCGTGAGAGTTCAGCATTGCACACCACGTTGGCCTGAATTTCAAATATATTCAACGGGAACGAGAGTTGAGCAGCAGTTGCCAATCCACGTGTCCTGATTTTTAGGGGCCGTCCATAAATGACGTCACGCGATTTTGGACGATTTTTGACCCCCCCCCCCTCATCACACGGCGTCACAAAAAGTCAGACCCCCCCTCAAATATGACGTCACAAAGCTCTGCCCCCCTCCCCCCAAAACCATATTTCCATTTTGAAAATAAAACATGCTTAAAATCGCTTTAAACTATTATCATTGTATGTAGTGCGTATTTAATGTGGCGCTGCACTCTGAAGTTGTAGGAGAAAACATTTATTAAAAAGTCTATTTAATTAAGTAGAACGTGTTGTCTATATTTATTTAAAGTTGCGCATTTTGATGTGACGTCACATTTCTCACCCCCCCCCCCTCGTCACACATCGTCACAAATGTCTGACCCCCCTAGGTGCGTGACGTCATTTATGGACGGCCCCTTAGACCTACGCTTTGTGAGACCGAAGCTGTGGCCCACATCCCTGTGGACTGTTGTTGAACAGTGCAAAGCCACGTGCCATGATTTTCAAAGCTAACGCTTTGTGAGACCGATGCTGTGGCCGGCTTCACTGTGGAGAGTATTGAGCGATGCAAGCCACGTGCCACGATTTTCAAAGCCACCGCTCTGTGATACCGAAGCTGTGACCCACGTCCCTCGTGAGAGTCTTGAGCAAGTGCAAGCCACGCGTCGCGATTTTCAAAATAACCCCCGAGGGCTTATATGAGATACGAACCCCGAAGCCGTGGCCCACCTCCGCCTCTTCAGAATCCCTACACCGCACAGGCGGCTGGCGGAGTGCGTCGCTCGCTTCCCATTGGTCGAGCGGCGCGGGCAGCCCTCGCCCCAAGCGCTGTAGGAAATCAAAAAAGAACGCCGGGGCCCCGCCCCCTACGCCGACGTGGGCGGTCCGTGTCCGCCATGTCCCCGTCTCTGTTGTAAACACAGCCCGTGGTGAGGCGGTCGTCTCTGCGTTCTTATTCTTCTTCTTCCTCCACCGCCTCTCTCCTTCGTTCCTCGCCCAGACTCCCCCCCCCTCCACCCTACCCACCACTCCTCACACGGACATCACCGCGACGAAGGATAACAGGCGCCGAACGTCGACTTGCCCAGGACTCTCGGCTTCCCCGTCATCCTTCCTTGACGTGAGCGACCCAAGTATTTGTTGTCAGCTTCGGTGCGTTTCACCACCACCACAACCCCCACACACACACACACCCATCGTGTTGCTGTCAGCGATCCTTCGAAGTGCACCTAGCCTGGTACGAACGCGGCGTTGGCGAATGGCGGCACGCGTGGTGGTGCTTCCCGCTGTGGGCCCAAGCGCGTGCCAGTGCAGATTCTGTGCGGCCGTCTGGAACGCTCTCGCGATGTTAGGAAGGCCAACGGGCGCCGCGCACTTTTAAAGTAATCTCGGATGAAAAGTGATTTTTTTCTTAGGATTTGCTTTTGTTGTGTTATATACTCTTGGTTCTTTCGGTAAAGTCAGGTAGATAGAAACGACACATTTTTGACTTAAAACTTTCGTGACTGCAGGAATTCATATTCTTGGTTCTTTCGGTAAAGTCACGTAGATAAAATTTTTTTTATAAAATTGAACGTATTTTCTTGGTTCTTTCGGTGAAGTCACGTTAATAAAAATTAATAAAATTAAAATAAAAAATAATAAAATTAAATTAAAAGTATTTTTCAATAAAATAATGAAATAAATTTGCTTTATTTTTTTATTTTACTTTATTTGAATTTCCCATCTACGTGACTTACCGAAAGAACCAAGAATGTGTTTAGTTGGTTAACATTCCCCCCTCCCCGCCCAGCAACCTCGATTAGCACGGTTGGCTACGTACGGTGCGAAAGAAGTTCATACATATATCTGCCAATCATCGCAGTCAGTTACAACCTATAACACCTGTATATGTCTGCCTTTGTCAGCGGGACCTGCTTTGATCAACACTTAACGTGGTAGCCTCAAGATGTACCTTGGCTGGCACAAGCGCTGAGGGAACGTGACACTCGCATTGTGGCGAATGGTGGCTTTTGTGTCTGTGTGTGTCATTCTCAGAATGTGAATCTCAAAGCTCCGTATACCTTTTGCCGCTTGACTTTGGAATTCCTTCCAATCGTCTCACTTTCCCTCAATTCTTATAAAAAATATATATAGCGTTGCTCAATTCAATAAAAAATAACCTGCTACCTCTTATAACTTCGTTAGCGCTGTTTATCGCCCGTTCGGTGTTGTTGTGCTTGTCATTATGTACTATACTACACTATGCGGTATTCAGAAACATGTTTTGCTGGCTGGCTTCCTGGCTGGCTGACTTCCTGGCTGCCTTCCTTCCTGGCTGGCTGGCTTCCTGGTTGGCTTCCTGGCTGGCTGGCTTCCTGGCTGGCTGGCTTTCTGGCTGGCTTCCTGGCTGGCTGGCTGGCTTCCTGGCTGGCTGGCTTCCTGGCTGGCTGGCTTCCTGGCTGGCTGGCTGGCTTCCTGGCTGGCTGGCTGGTTTCCTGGCTTGCTGGCTTCCTGGCTGGCTGGCTGGCTTCCTGGCTGGCTTTCTGGCTGGCTTCCTGGCTGGCTTCCTGGCTGGCTGGCTGGCTTCCTGGCTGGCTTCCTGGCTGGCTTCCTGGCTGGCTGGCTTCCTGGCTGGCTGGCTTCCTGGCTGGCTGGTTTCCTGGCTGGCTGGCTGGCTTCCTGGCTGGTTTCCTGGCTGGCTTCCTGGCTGGCTTCCTGGCTGGTTTCCTGGCTGGCTTCCTAGCTGGCTTCCTGGCTGGCTTCCTGGCTGACTTCCTTCCTGGCTGGCTGGCTTCCTCACGCACCCATCCCCGGCCGTGTATCCCACGCAAATGCGCGGGATCCACTATCGTACTCAGAAATCAGTTTAATACGTAAGGTTTCGCGACCAATATTATTCATAATAAAGGTTTTTGGGTGAGATCGCGTGAGTATAAATGTGTCGTAACCCTCCACCACCCGACACAGCCAGTAAGGTTTGTCACGTAAACAGTGCGCCAATTAGTTACTACTTCAGCCCACCGGTGTGTGGGCTGAAGTAGTAACTCGTATTGTAAATGTTATAGATTTACTCTCCAACACACCGGTCGGCTGAAGTAGTAACTAATTGGCGCATTGTTTACGTGACAAACCTTACTGGCTGTGTCGGGTGGTGGAGGGTTACGACACATTTATACTTTGGCCATCTAACCCAAAAACCTTTATTATGAATACTCAGAAATCTTTATACTGGAGGAGGAATCCGATGAGCTATAAAGCTATTTTTCCATAGATGTCCAGCCGGGGAGGGTCAGAATATTAACAACAAGCAATACAAAAAAAACGATAGGCGTGAAAAGGATAGGACAGGTAAACAAATCACTTTTAAAAATATACACAAATAAAACTAAACTTTAAAAAAAAAATCTTTCTAGATTAAGCCCACCGAGTCATTAGCTTATTTTTCAGAAGCGACCTGGCCACTAAATGATAGCTCAACTAAGTGGCTTTATTTTGTTTGTTGCGGTTGCACCCCGACTTAAGAGCCGCATGGCTCACAGGGCTATACCTAATAAATGAAACTTGAAACTTATCGTGTGGAAATTAACGGCAGCAAAATAATCTACGCTAACAACAGTACAATCCTATATTAGACAAAAGTTTGGCTGGCTAGTTGGCTGGACAGACGGTCACGTCCAAAGGACGTGCGAGCTGCTGCGTAACATGTTATTCAACTCCGTCTCTTCTCCTGAAGACGACGACCCTGTGCGCGATACGAGTGCCCATCTTATTGATGAAAAACGTCCCAAAAGTTTCGACCTGGCGCCTTTGTTTTGGAGCTCTGGGATATGTCACCGCGGCTTTTTCTTCGGCATGGTTTAATGCGTAGATCACATACAGCCCCCTTTTGAAAATCCACACCGTGCCGGTCGCGGCACGATATTCTTAACCGTACTTCACCACGCAGTGCGGTGCGGGTTGGGAATGGTGGTGGGAAGCATAGATGTCGGAGTAGAGTACAACAATAACGGTTTAGCTGCACTGCCCTCATGTCCACAATCTATTCCTCTGGCAGCCTATCAGAATCAGACTATTTACACTGTAGGAATCCGATGAGCTATGAAGCTCTTTTTTTCACAGATGGCCAGCAGTTCACAGATGTCCAGTAGTGCAAGGTGGTCACCCACCCACTTTCCAGGCTCTCACTGCTGCTTAGTTTCCACGATTTGATGAGATCGGTACCATTCCAGGTGATTTGGGCAATATAGGCTGACTTTGTTCATTTTGACTTCTAAAGGGGTTATTGATACTCGGTGTCAGCTGATTGGAAACTGCCACTGTCAAAGCAGAACTGTTTACATGCAAACTTCCTATTCCACGGTGTTTTCCCAGTACATCATACAGTAACGTAGGTTTTGTCGGCTAACAATCTGACTCTGCCCCTCTTTCATCTATGAATTACCATTATCATTGTGATGGCAGTTATGGGACACTAAATTTCAGTATCGAATTGCTTAGCTATTTGTGAATTTCTCTTTTGAAAACTGGCCTATTTGATTAAAAGTGTTCCTAGAAACTTGGATGCAACAGAGAGCCACAAAGGACAATTATCAAACAGGCTACCCATGGGTTTCTGTTTGCTTGCGTACTGCTATTGCAAAGACGAATCCATGTTGGAAATTATTAACATAAACCATGCATATTCATGATTGTTCTTCCTTGTTTAATTGCCCTGTGCATCGACTCAATTTTCTGTTTGATGTTCTGCCCGCGCTCTGACTAGATTGCCGGAATTTCCTTCAAGATAAATAACTTTGACCGTGACGATGAATTTGCATTTGCCCTAATTCTGTGTAAGCACCATTGCTGAACATCGCAGTGTGCGTCTTGTGAATGTGCGGAAAATGCCCGCGTGGCCGCGTGTCTTCTGTACTCCTGTTTTATTGCCAGAAAGAGTTAAACCTATTCTTAGTTTTTCATACTTTGATATTGGCAAAAATGTCCCCTTTTGTAGCTGCTCACCCCGAGCCATAGATGCTCTGAGAGTGCATTGTCTTTGTACTGTTCGCCTTTTGACGTTGTTCTCTGGTCTGACACTGGTGAGACTAGGCCCCAAACAAGCCTGTCTCTGGTGTAGGCCAATCGGTTTCAAAGACAATGCCCATATATTATCAGAGCATGTTTGTTTACATGTTCACCACAAGTACTGTGTGGTTAATGCAGTACTTGATTCATTGTAAAAGGTTTCTCTTTGGTATTTGAACATCTTTACACCTGTTTTATTTCCAGAAAGGGTAAAACCTATTATTTTAAAATCATTTGGTAATATTGTTGGGTCTTTCAGTAAAGTTACGCGGATAAGGTCAAAGAAAATAAGAAAAAACTACGACGTTTCGATCGCAAAACAAGCGGTCGTCTTCATTGTCCATTCACATCGTGGCCAACAGTTACTATAACTCTACATCCTTCATGGTTTTGTTTCTTCTCAAATATTCATTGTACACATGCATGTCGAGCCCTTGGGGTCAAATCACTGCTGGATGAGGGCCTCTTTACGCTGTGCAGGTGATGGGGGTTATTTGACCATACTTCCCAAGCTGCTCAGCGCGGGTTTGGTGAAGGTGGGTTCGGTATACACAGAAGCATAGAAGTACATTACGACAGTGTATTTTGCCGCATTGGTTTTTCTGCTGACAACGTAAGCCCCACAGCAGCCTACAACACCTGTTTTATGCCATGGTGGTCGTCTGTCCGAGGACTCTTCTGTCTCGATCCTACTTGGCTTCTAAGGTCCAGTCAGATTTCAGTAGATATGGAAGCATAGAAGTACTTTGCGACGGTGGATTTTGCTGTATTGTTGTTTCTGCTGACAACGTAAGCCCCATAGCAGCCTACATGACCTGTTTTATGCCATGGTGGTCATCCGTCCGAGGACTCTTCTGTATCGATCCTACTTTGCTTCTAAGGGCCGCTGAGATTTGGCTCATTCCAGGTGATCTCTACGTAGACTTTATTCATGGGAATGTATTTTTTTTTAATTCCGTTGCAGTTGAGCATGAATGCAGCAAGCTCCTACACAAATGGACAGTCAACGATTGGCCCAAAGTGTGATTGCGGTCACCAAATCTTAAGATTGTACCACGTGGTAACACCACTGCCCACTTTGATCATTCCCCCGAAGCCGTTTGCTG